CCATGCATTTACAGAAACTGCAGGATCGGGCCAATATCTTTAGCTCAGTGACGTACGTATCAACGGATTAACCTGGCCGCCTGGTCCGCGAAAAGAAGAGGTAGCGTTGAAATGTCTCGTTTGCTTGGCCTTCTCAAGAACTGTCTCCAGATTGTTGGCATCTTCGCTCTTGTCGTAACACAATGTCTCTAGCACGCGGCGCGCATCACCTCCTGCTGCGTGTCGAAACATGGCCGAGCGGTACGCCATCGGATGTTTGTCCAGACGCGATAAAGTACAGAAATCCATCCATTTACTCTTCCACAAACGCCAGTTGCTTGCCAAATTGCGATCATCCATGTTCAGCGGGGCAGGCATTTGAATAGCCGGTGCAGCTTCAATCATCATCTGGGTGGTACTAATGTTCTTCTCCTTCTCTGACACTATGTAAAATGTCGGTCCTTCAGGGACAAAACGTATATTCTGCAGACAAAAGGACCAGGCGAAAACGCAGGCATCGGACGAGTGCAACATATCGGTATATACAGCTAATTGGACCCATAATTAACGACCTTTGTGATTGCATAACATTTTTCCTTTGATTCAGTCAAACAAACTCACTCCAATGCGTCCAACTGTTGGCAAATCAGCGTGCATGCGAGAAACGTGTGAACGTCCAATCAGCTGCTGCCTTTCCTTGCAGCAGCCTAACGGCTTCCTTGCTGGGCTGGCACCGCACGTTCGTCCGAGTGTATACTCCCATCACACACCCTACCAATGATCGTTACACTCAGGTTCATCATTATCAAGGCACCAGGGGCAAACTGAGATTATCGATATTTCAGACAGAACCAGGATCAGGTTTAAGAAGTTACGACCGGCTCACCTTTGAATGTGCTTGAAATTATCAAACGTAACCGCACTGCTGATCTGAAGTAGTTTAATTCAATCTGTCATCTAATAATATGCAATCCAGTTGCCATCAGAAGTCGCACCCAGGAGACTGAAGGTTGACACATTTTCACAGATAAACGAGATATGAGTTGTGGCAAAGCACAGTGCAGTTCATCAGATGTAGCGATGCGCACATCCCTTATAGTTACAATAGTTCGATTCGTGAACTTGAAATCCACGTGTCAGGCAAGCCTTTTACGAACTGCTGTTTTCGGTCGTTTCTATGAAAATGACCTCGGAGCTCAGTGATCAAGAAACTGGTGGAATCCCAAGCTAAAAAGAAGAAATGTAAGAACGTGTCCAAGCGGTCATGTTTACATGAAACATACGGTAAGAAGTGTTATGTATGTTTCAAGATTGGAGTCGTGAAGATTTCACATGAAAACCAAGTTTGTAATGAAGGAAGATAGACATGCCACCACCAACGGACACAGTAAAGTGGATGAAAGTTATAGATTTTATGCAAGGATAAACAAGCAAAACCAACCGGTGTCGCGGCCAAGACCAAGGTAACCGAATTTATTGTCTCAGGTATTTCTGTGCAATGAGCACAGATTGATGGGCCTTAATTAGCAACGCGTCAGTAATAGCCAAAATTATCATGCTTTTGCTGCGGAATTACACTTTGAACGCGGTTTCAAAGTTCACATGATGACAAGTTGCCACGAGGTACTGGGTGATAGACGATGCTGGACTCCGAGTAATTCGCAGATCCGTCCCATGTTGTTGCGTTATCACTTGCCCCAACCACTATGGCGAATGTTCTGCTGCCTGTGAGCTCATTGATTGTTAGTTCTGCCTACGTCGCCACAACTGAAGGTGAAATGATAAACAACATGAGAGGCTGAACTACCAGACGAGATGCACCTACAGTTTTGAAGAATAAGTCCTCGCGTGGTATGCATGGGTCGCAACTGGGCGGTCGTGTAAGTGCGCGTTAGAGCGGACTAGAGATTGCGTCCGATATCATTTGCTACATGGTCCCCCTTGTAGAAACATCATTTTCCTCGGCCATTAGCACCGGTGTTTCTCCTCAGGAGATTTGCTGTGTATCTGAATAAACTTCTCAAGATACAGTACGAAATTACGGTCTTGTGTAGAACTACTTCAGCTTTTAACATTTCAGGACCAGTAGAAGAGTTTTCACCAAGCTACATTGGTTTGCGACCGGGGCGAAGCTGGAGAAATGTAGACAATGTCCACTCCAATCCGAATGCGATGAACGGTGCGCTGCGGTGTATCTTCAGCCTGTCTCCTAAAGAGTATACCCAAAAATTGTAGGCAACCGTGTTGTCCCAATTCACGGGATACCGCTAGATTTGGATGACTCAAATTCAGAACAGACTACAGTCGCGAAAAATGGTCGCGTCTAGTGAAGACTAAAATGTCCTCCAGGAATGCTGGTGACAACGTCTTTCTATCAAGCCGATCATGATGTCGGTTAAAACTGGCATCAGAGGGCTGTCAATAGCGATAGCGTTGACCTGTTTGTATGCTGTCCCCTCAAAATCAAATCGTATATTTTCGCTTCACAAAAGACTCACCGCATTTAAATACTTCACTGGCAGGCCCGAAGACACATTCCGGCTCAGGATGCGTAATCGCTGTACGCTTAGACCAGGAATTTCGCTTCGGGTCAGACGATTCACCATCGAACCATAGAGTAGTGTGTGCAATCGCGAAGTCTCCAGAACAAATGAACCCGCGACACCATCCTTTCAGCCGCAAGCAACCTTCATACTCATCCGGATAGCGCAAGGATGACAAGTCTAACCCTACGCATTCATACGCCCAACGCCAATTAGGGATCTCGTCGCACATTAAACATGCAAAAACCACATCCTACCGACCTTCTATAGACCAGTTTGCAGATTAGCCCACACAAAACAGTTTTAATACTTAAAGGACTTATTCACCCAGGTCGCTGAAATAGCACACCGACACAGCGGATTGCTGTAATATGATAGAAATCTGCTGCGCCACCACTTTATAGGTTAGGGTTGAGGGGTTGCGTTAAGGTTAATCGGATTTATTAAACCAAGACCCTAACTCTGGAACCCTGTAATTATGCCACTAAACCCTGAAACTCCGTAACCATGCTTCGTCTTCGACGAAACCGCACACTCCGTACACAACGAATACATCGCCGTCTACGTTGACGCCTCCGAATCCGATGGATACGTTAGCTGCGGTAGATATGGTGCCCCACACTGACGCGCATATTCCGCCTGAACGAACGAAAAGAACTCCTCCAACTGACCAATCAAAGATGGCAGATGATCAATGATGTCCCCAAACACGTTCCTACTGTTTAGTGAACAGCAATCGCTTCTACACGAGGAATAATGCTCCTTCCAGCTTCCTATCCATGCTAGCAGAGCTCCTTCAGCCCTACGCCACTTAGGAATCTTGTCGCACAAGAAATGTGCAAAAACTATCTACCAACCACCTCAAATAGGCTAACTCGCAGACTAACCCTCACAAAAATATTTAACACATTTAAACTACTTATTAACACAGGTCGCTGAAATGGCACAACGACACAGCGGATTTCTGCAATACTAGGGCATGCCAGTTCGAGTGCGCGCACCAAATGTTGACCGTTACGCGAGGAGAGTTTGAAATATTTATTTTCATGCTCGGATATGCTTTTTCTGTATTTCGGTCTCGTAGGATATCTTCCATGTTCTTTGATGTTCTCTATCGTTCGGTTCTATGTTTGATCATGGTCCTGCGGTTCGAGACTCTTCCTTTCTACAGTATTGCTCTGCTACTCGGGCACTGTAAAGAGCTTCGTGGTGTGCTAGTGGGAATAACTGCTGAATAGTTGCTGCCCGGACGGCATTTGGAAATCGCAGTTACAATTGAAAATGTCTGGTTGACTGCTCAGTTCCACGTTCTTCTTGGAAGGTACGTCGTACTCCTCGTGGTTCACATATGCGTATCACTACTTCATGACTGATAGTAGGATTGTTTAGAGTACACAACTAGTGCCTTGGGCGAACGGCCACCGACTGACCTTCGCACAGAATGACCGTTTAGATAAACGATCTGACGGGCGTGAGTCACCGGCGTCGTACTCTGGTTGGCTAGCGCGACGGCGTGGGACAGACCTAGATATAGGACGTTCGGTTGTAAAAGCGCACGTGACGCGTGTGGATCCCGCTGACAGAATCCTATAAGCCTGTTCTGCATGGGTGCTGTGCACGGATGGTAGGTACGCATGAATGACAATAGTGGGAGTTGGAATTCCACAGACTTGACACAATCGCTAGCACGACAAGCATTTGGTGCGGAGAGTACCAATATGGAACATTATGAGTATGAGGAGGAGTAGTTGAAAATGTTTTGGTGATGGTGGTATAGACAGGCGGTCGAGTGGTTGCGAGCCATAATACTGAGCTAGAGGAGAAGACATAGGCGTGGTAGAAATAATTTATCAGTGATGACAGATAGTTGAACAATGCAGAGTGGTGAGTGTACTTGCTAACGTTGAGGGCACAACTGTTAGCGGAAGCCCAAACATCAAGTGTGCTGGCAAGGTTTTGCCAGCGGTCTTGTGGAGCAATGAGTGTAACGTTGAGTTGAGTTTCAAGGAGCACATGTCCCATCATACGGACAATGTCCTCGGAAGTGCAAAAGGGTTCAGTATAAGGGAGAAACAGGAAAATTGGATTGAGGGTGCGTTTGGAGTAGGCAAAAGATCATCCTGTTGAACTGGTAATGGGAGGTTGGGAGGGAAGTTCTTGAGAAACGGTTTCCGTAGCGGGATATAATGTGACAGGCCGAGAGTAGCGTGTTGAAAAGTGCACAGAGGAAATGCTGATCGTAGAGTTGCAAATGGTTCCGCGTGCTGTTGATCGGATTGCGAGAAAAAAAACAAAAATTCGAATGCAGAGGTGGGTAGGCAGGTAATAGCATATGTGCTTGAGGAATCCGCCGGGTTGTATTGGTTAATGGTAAGGTATTGCTTTCGTGTAATGGTGATGGTAGTGGTATTATGGGAAAGTCGCAGTAATCGGATTCGTTCGGCTGTTGATTGTGCTGTGTCTCCGGTAGTCTCCTCCTCAGATGTCGAATCGACCGCGATTCGTTTGCCACCAGTTGCCATACCAGAAAGAAAAATGGCAAGCACAAAAGGTGGTCGGTGGTTCGGGCAGTTCCCGACAGCCTACACGTACATTGAATTTGAATTTGTGGCAACACTCATATATAGCGGCGGCGTCGACAGATGTGATGTCCATTCCGAGACTACGATTGGTTGAAATCAGTACTGGCACACGTAGTAACGTCACATCAGGTGAATGCTTCACGTGAATGTCAAATGTATTACCACCGAGGAGTGCTTTAAAGTCATTGACCGTTTTTATGGTAATGCGGGGTTCTTTCATGAGCGCGACGGCCTTATCTACCAAGTTTTGAAGAAAAAATCGCGAGTGATCTCCAGACATTTGAACAGTCCCGCAGTGGTAGTTTTGGGATATCAGTTTCAAAAGTAGAGATTTGCCAGTTGTAGTGGGTCCTTCGATGCAAAAGGTGTTGAGCTGATCAATCTTCTTATTCATGATTTCGTGTATAGCAGTACAAAATGCGTCCTTATCGATATTGTTCACTCTTAATAAATCGTCAAAGAAAGTAGTGGAACGATCTTGCGGGTGTGTGCACACATTATAATGATTATTCTCCATGATATATTCCTCAAAGGAGATATTCGTTTGCCTATTCAGTAATTCCACGTTGTATGCTTCGATGCATTGTTTAGCCGTTCTCTCCCACTGGATTCCGAATTCTGCGTATAGGGTTAGGCGCTGTTTTCGTGTGATATGCCGTTTCAGATCCTTAATGTGGGTGCATCGGTGTGTGTCAATTAATTTATCGAGGAGCTCAGTACATTTTGTGCGCTTTGCTTTTTGGAGTTCTATACGTCGAGAATCTCGGTTGAATTGTGCACAGCCTTTTTGGTCAACCGGTGTTAGTTCAGTATGGGAGGCCAGAGGTTGGAGCTTATTACCGATAAGTTGGACACTGCATCCGGAACGTGCGAAGTATGGTGCGAATCTGTACCAGTCAATAATTGGTTGTATTGTAGTTAGGATATCAAACATACTGGATGGAGGTATGGATAAGGCCTGTAGAGTGTGTTGTAACGATCGGTTAAGGTGCTGTGGCAGAGATTGAAAAACGACGTGGTAGTGGTCGTCGTGTTTTATTAGCATTGCCTTACTACGATGGTTTGACAAGATAACAGGTTCTGGACCGCGATATATGAAGGTCCACAGGTTGTCGGTGGAGTTGATGCATTGGACTATATCTTGTACAAACGTATTGTCAGATTCAGCTGTTTGTGATGCTTCATGTAATAGCTCATCTGGGATAAGTGTTAATTGTGGCGGTAGGGTATCAACTATGTCTTGTATTTCCGAAGATGTAATGGCGGATACCGGTTGCATGCTTGTTGAAGGTCCTAGGATGTCATCGATCATGAAAGAAGGGCGCTTACGTGGTGGGGAAGCATCAAAATCGACATTGTGTTCAGCTGCGCGTTTCAATACATGTGTAATACGCTGAGCATGTTGTTCAACGGCAGAGCTTGTTGATTTGGGAACAGGCGTTTCGATGCCCGTGGATTGCATTTCATGGTACCAAGTGTTATAGAGTTGTGGATCTTCCACACGGAGACGCTCACTCATGACCCAGTGTGAGTAGGATAGGATAACCTTGGATGTTTCCATTTGATTTTTGTAGGTTTCGAATTTTGCTTGAAACGTAACATTCTGTTCTCCGTGCCATTGATCCAACTTGGCGTTCATAGGTCTGATGGCTTCAAACTGAGAGATCGGCTTCTGTATAAACAGCGTCGCGGGAGAACAGTAAAAGCAGTTGAAAAAGTTTGTAGCAGTGCTGCTTATATACTAGCGAAAAGCGAAGGTAAGCGGCAGGAGGAAAAATTTCTGACAATTCCTCCTCTCCTCCCTCCGTTAAGAAACAACCGGACGCCAGCTCCAGTGACAACAAACTTTCTGATTAGTCCCTCCTATTCACATCTCTCTTTTACTCCTTTGTGAAAATTCAGAAAGACCTATGGTCCGTGCACAGCACCCATGACCGACAACATAGTTTAACTTGGAGTGCCACATACTTAACACACGCACAAGCACGACAGACAATTGGTGTGGAGCGGACAAATATGTAAAATTGTTAGTCAGAAGAGTGTGAGGAGGAGGAGGAGTAGTTGAAAAAGTTTTCCTGATAGTGAGATAGCAGGCGGTCGAGTGGTTGCGATCTATAGAGTAGTGAGATAGAGGAGAAGACGGGCGTAATAGGAATAAGTTATCAATGACGATAGAAAGCATAAAAATGCAGAGTGGCGTCAGTGTATTTGCCATTGTTAAGGGCACAACAGTTAGCGGAAGTTCAAACATCAAAAGTGCTGGCAATGTCGCGGTTCAGACGCTACGAGGACATATTTCGGTCCGAATTCGGTGGCAAGGAGGATGCATAGCGATCATGAACACTGCTTCGTAATTTGGGACCCACCGAGCATGACCGTTTGGTAAATTACAATTTGCCAAAACGCTCACGTGATTTTTCTTTCGATAACATGATTCAGTGTCTCACTCAGATCTTTGGCGAACGTTCCTCACTCTTCTGCACATGCTATCACTGTTTAAAACTTGGTAAACATTCCATGGAGGACTACATTACTTGTGCAAGTATAGTGAACCGACAGTGTGAACGCTTTAAACTGGCAGCCATGACAGACACACAGTTCAAGTGTCTGGTGTTCATCTGTGGTCTAGAGTCTCCGTCAAAAGCGGACATCCACACACGAGTTCTCATCAAGCTGGAGCAAGACCTAGACATCACGCAGCAGAAAATGGCCGAGGATTGGCAACGCCTGCTTGATCTGAAACATGAGTCCAGTCTGGTGAAACAGCGGCACATCAACATGATAGATGTTAGACCGATCAAATCAAACCAACAGCAGTCCAAAAAGCCGCCTACAGCATGTTGGAACTGTGGAGCATTGCATTACGCATCACAGTGCACTTCTCCACAACATCAGTGTAACCAATGTCAACGGTTTGGTCACAAAGATGGTTTTATGCAAGCCACACAAGTCGAGTGAAACAGACAGTTCCAACAAACGACCTTCGAAGCCAACACAGAGGAAGGCTAGCAGCAGTATTTTTGCTACACATCAGGTCAACGCGACACCCCACAGACGCTACCTGACAGTAAGTGTTAATGCGTAGCCCGCAACTCTTCAGTTAGACACTGGATGGGATATCACCGTCATTTCACAATGCATTCTGGAAGCCATCGGACGTCCTCCAGTTTTGCCAACACAACAAATTGCCCTCAGTGCATCTGGAACTACTCTCGGATTGGTTGGTGAGTTACGATGTTTGGTAACCTACAATGAGAAAACATTTGAGACTATAGATTACCTCCTGCGAAGAGCATTCGGGATTTTGGATCCATCCATCTTCTCTTTGATGCTGAATGCCTACGTGCGTCCTCACGTCGAATATGCAATCCAGGCCTGACAACCGTGGCTAAAACTTGACCTTGCAGCGCTTGAGACCCCACAGCGTCGAGCAACGAAAATCGTCAAGGGCTTGCGCCACACTGCTTACCAGGAACGACTGGAGATACTCGGAGTGTTCAGCGGACGGTACCGGCGACTTCGTGGAGACCTCATACTAGTGTACCAGATATTGAGCGACCCCAGTCACGTATGCCGCCACCTCTTGAAGCTCAGCCCGAACACTGACCTTCGCGGTAACAGTTTAAAGCTGAGCCAACAGTACAGTCGTCTAGACTGTCGGAGAACCTATTTCTCCCTCCGGGTCTGCGGGCCCTGGAACGCCCTTCCAAACTCAGTTGTTTGTGCCCCACATTAGATACGTTTAAAAAACGATTGGACCTCGCACTGAGCGCCCTGCGCTTTGTTTTATGAACGAAAACGCTTGTATATATTTAGGCTGACCAGCCTCTTTGGATTTATACCCCAAATTCACGGTCGTAAATCTGTGCGAACCGGTGAGTACTCCATTTTTATTTGCTACCATCACCAACGATAACAATTTCTTAGCCAGTTTTGCGTCGTACCACCTTATCCCCCTAAAAATGTTATACTTCTACATTTTATCTCACTGACGCTCCTTACTTCAACCACTTATGTGGTTTGCCAATTTGTTAGTATTTCTATTGCCAACCTGCGGGACTCGTTAAGTATATGCTTTTTCGCCCGTCATATACCATTGTTTCATTGTTCACTAATCAGTCAGGGCTGAACACTCTTGGTGTTGACTGGCTAGATAAGCTCAAACTTGCAAGTATTCCTTTTGATAACGTGTGCAAACTGACACTGGGTATCAGTGTTGCACTCAGAACTATCGATGCAGGGCTCCAGCAGACGATTTCACAGCGGTTGTTTCCGTGATACACAGTAGTTTTTCAGGACAATATCGAACTCTGCATCAAAATGATGGCTCAATTACAGTTGAGAACAGATGCCAAAACAGATTTTGGTCCAAAACGTCCAGCACCATATTCTGCCATAACCAGTGTTGAGCAAGAGGTTACCCGTCTACAAATAGCAGATGTCATACAACCGGTCGATTACTCGGACTAAGCTGATCCCATTGTGGTAGAACGAAACGCTAATGGCTTCATCCGTGAATGATACACGGTAATGTCGAATGTTCCGACTATAGAGTAATTGCGTTCAAACTACTGTGCATATCGATAAAATCCAGCATTAGGTCGTAATGCGTAAGCGCCGTATCCTTAGTCCAGGGATTTCGCTTCGGGTCAGACGATTCACCATCGAACCATAGAGTAGTGTGTGCAATCGCGAAGTCTCCAGAACAAATGAACCCGCGACACCATCCTTTCAGCCGCACACAATCGGCCTCCTTACAACCTTCATACTCATCCGGATAGCGCAAGGATGACAAGTCTAACCCTACGCATTCATACGCCCAACGCCAATTAGGGATCTCGTCGCACATTAAACATGCAAAAACCACATCCTACCGACCTTCTATAGACCAGTTTGCAGATTAGCCCACACAAAACAGTTTTAATACTTAAAGGACTTATTCACCCAGGTCGCTGAAATAGCACACCGACACAGCGGATTGCTGTAATATGATAGAAATCTGCTGCGCCACCACTTTATAGGTTAGGGTTGAGGGGTTGCGTTAAGGTTAATCGGATTTATTAAACCAAGACCCTAACTCTGGAACCCTGTAATTATGCCACTAAACCCTGAAACTCCGTAACCATGCTTCGTCTTCGACGAAACCGCACACTCCGTACACAACGAATACATCGCCGTCTACGTTGACGCCTCCGAATCCGATGGATACGTTAGCTGCGGTAGATATGGTGCCCCACACTGACGCGCATATTCCGCCTGAACGAACGAAAGGAACTCCTCCAACTGACCAATCAAAGATGGCAGATGATCAATGATGTCCCCAAACACGTTCCTACTGTTTAGTGAACAGCAATCGCTTCTACACGAGGAATAATGCTCCTTCCAGCTTCCTATCTATGCTAGCAGAGCTCCTTCAGTCCTATACCACCTAACAATCTCGTCGCACAAGAAATCTGCGAAATCTATCTACCAACGACCTCGAATAGGCTAACTCGCAGACTAACCCTCACAAACTTTTTAACACATTTAAACTACTTAATAACACAAGTCGCTGAAATGGCAAAACGACACAGCGGATTTTTGTCATTCCATAGTGTTCAAGTTCAAGTTCAAGTTCAAGTGGGACCGGAACAGTAGGATAAGTCCCCGTGAATGTTCCTTCCGTGACGCGTCGTTGATCCAGGGTATTATTCGTCCGCGATAACTGGAATCCAGAAGAGTCAGATCAGCGCGCGAATCACACCACGGTCAACCAATTAATACCCACGCGACCTGCACTGGCAGTCCCCGCCGCACCGGTCACGTGAAATAAGAAAAAGAAGTACGAAAGTAATAAGAGCGTCAAGAAAAAATGATTTGATATTTCAATAAAACAAATAAACTAGGAAGTGAAGGGGAATGTTAAGAATTGAAGGCCAAGAGCGTCGAGTCGGTGTTCGAACTCTTTCACCGTTGGTGCCAATACCACGTTTTCGGGCAGTGCATTCCAGGAATCCACCACTCGGCGTGATAAACGAAAGTCCGCCCGGACTCCATCCGATCGAGGTTTGTGTAGCTTCAGCGAGTGACCGCGGAGCGATGGAAGCCGAGCCGGTTGGAAAAGCCCGGATGAATCGGGTCCGGTTTTACCGGTAAGTATACGATAGGTCAAGACTAGGTCGCCTCGATGTTGACGATAGTGCATCGAGAACATCCCCAGCGCAAGTAGTCTTTCTGGGTAAGAATGGTTCCGCAGTCCATGGACCAGTTTGGTTCCAACTCTCAACACTCTCTCCACTGACATCCTGTCCCTGACTAAGCAAGGTGGACAAGCCTGGATGCAGTATTCCAAGTGTGGCCTGACAAACGCTGAGAATAACCTAACAAACATAGCTCCCGTGATGGTCCCGAATGCCCTGCGGATCATCCACAACATTCTGAAACCCTTGAACGTAGCTTTCCTCCAGTTCTCACTGGATTTAAGTTCTGAAGACAATGTGACCCCTAGGTCTACCAATTGGGTAACATGGTGGAGTTCATTACCGCCAAGAAAATAACGCGTTTGGGGGCTATTTGGCCCTACTCGTAAGATGGAACACTTTGCATAGTTTATGGGCAACTGCCACAGAGCAGCCCAATCCCAAAGTTGATCGAGGGCCCGTTGCAGAATCTGGGGTCCATCGAAGTCAGACACTATGTGCCAAAACTTTAGGTCATCTGCAAACATGAGAGATGGTACGTCCAGCAGTTCGGGCAGCTCGTTGACATACAAGGAAAATAACAACGGACCAAGCACCGAACCCTGTGTCAACTTTGTATAAGGTTAGGGATAGGAGGAGAACGTCGTTTCGTCTGCCATAAATTTATGTATACTGTGAAATGAAAAACTAGCAATCGGGTTTTTGAAGTTTTACCAAGGCTGGAATTTTGGCTACAGGCTAGAAGCTTGTTTGGACCATACCAGCGACTCCGAATTTGAGGAAGAAATCTTCGGTTCAAAGGCGACCTACACAAAGCGACCCTCACAAAACTATTTAACACGTTTAAACTACTTATTAACACAAGTCGCTAATATGGCTCAACGACACAACGGATTTCTGCAATACTAGGGCATGCCAGTTCGAGTGCGCGCAGCAAATGTTGACCGTTACGTGAGGAGAGTTTGAAATATTTATTTGCCAGCTCGGATATGCTTTCTCCAGTATTTCGGTCTCGTAGGATATCTTCGATGTGTTGATGTTCTCTATCGTTTTGTTCTATGTTTCATCATGGTCCTGCGGTTCGGGACTCTTCCTTTCTACAGTATTGCTCTGCTACTCGGGCATTGTAAAGAGCTTCGTGGTGTGCTCGTGGAAATAACTGCTGAATAGTTGCTGCCCGGACGGCATTTGCGAATCGTACGTACAATTGAAAATGTCTGGTTGACTGCTCAGTTTCACTTTCTTCTTGGAAGGTACGTCGTACTCCTCGTGGTTCACATATGCGTATCACTACTTCATGACTGATAGTAGGATTGTTTAGAGTACACAACTAGTGCCTTGGGCGAACGGCCACCGACTGACCTTCGCACAGAATGACCGTTTAGATAAACGATCTGACGGGCGTGAGTCACCGGCGTCGTACTCTGGTTGGCTAGCGCGACGGCGTGGGACAGACCTAGATATAGGACGTTCGGTTGTAAAAGCGCACGTGACGCGTGTGGATCCCGCTGACAGAATCCTATAAGCCTGTTCTGCATGGGTGCTGTGCACGGATGGTAGGTACGCATGAATGACAATAGTGGGAGTTGGAATTCCACAGACTTGACACAATCGCTAGCACGACAAGCATTTGGTGCGGAGAGGACCAATATGGAACATTATGAGTATGAGGAGGAGTAGTTGAAAATGTTTTGGTGATGGTGGTATAGACAGGCGGTCGAGTGGTTGCGAGCCATAATACTGAGCTAGAGGAGAAGACATAGGCGTGGTAGAAATAATTTATCAGTGATGACAGATAGTTGAACAATGCAGAGTGGTGAGTGTACTTGCTAACGTTGAGGGCACAACTGTTAGCGGAAGCCCAAACATCAAGTGTGCTGGCAAGGTTTTGCCAGCGGTCTTGTGGAGCAATGAGTGTAACGTTGAGCTGAGTTTCAAGGAGCACATGTCCCATCATACGGACGATGTCCTCGGAAGTGCAAAAGGGTTCAGTATAAGGGAGAAACAGGAAAATTGGATTGAGGGTGCGTTTGGAGTAGGCAAAAGATCATCCTGTTGAACTGGTAATGGGAGGTTGGGAGGGAAGTTCTTGAGAAACGGTTTCCGTAGCGGGATATAATGTGACAGGCCGAGAGTAGCGTGTTGAAAAGTGCACAGAGGAAATGCTGATCGTAGAGTTGCAAATGGTTCCGCGTGCTGTTGATCGGATTGAGAGAAAAAAAACAAAAATTCGAATGCAGAGGTGGGTAGGCAGGTAATGGCACATGTGCTTGAGGAATCCGCCGGGTCTTATTGGTCAGCTGCGATTGATATGGCGCCCCATACTGTCGCGCATATTCCGCCTGAACGAGCGGAAGGAACTCCTCCAACTGACCAATCAAAGATGGCAGATGATCAATGATGTCCCCAAACACGTTCCTACTGTTTAGTGAACAGCAATCGCTTCTACACGAAGAATAATGCTCCTTCCAGCTTCCTATCTATGCTAG